AGCTGCTCACCGCCTAGTGGCCAGGAAGGAGAGAGGGGAAGGAGCCAGGGGTAAGAACAAGGTGTCATCTAAAAATACGGTAAATCTTAAATTAAAAAAATTATTACAGCCGGGGGCGGGGATTTAGCTCAGTGGTTCCACTGCCTGCCTCACAAGCGCAAGGTCCCAAGTTTGATGCCCAGTACCAAAAAAAAAAATTATTACAGTAAAAGACACATTGCCATGAATCCCCCTTAAAATCTTCCCCATTCTTTCGAGCACAATCGGCCCATCATTCTGGCCATTTTCTGAAGCAGCTCTGGAAGTCTTCTGTCCTGAGTGTCTCTAGTTCTGCTGCCTCTATGCCCTAAATGGATTGAAAACATTAACTTTTTATGGTCATTTTGACTTGGGCGGGGGGGCAGTGCATACAGTGGATGAGGTCATGCTGTCACATTTTCACAAGCTGCCATTCTGTTGGATGGCACTGAGTGGCAGCATTCACTGTATTTTTGATCACACCTCATAGACTCACGAAAGAGGACTTCCAGAACTGCTTCAGAAAGTGGCAAGAAGGATGGGGCGAATGTATGCAAAGCAAGGGGGAGGATTTTAAGGGGGACATGTGGCAATGTGTCTTTTGCTGTAATAAACTTTCAGAATGTGAACATTCACCGTACACTTCGGTCACCTGTCGCACACTTTTCGGAGGAGCACCTCCAGTGCCCTCCCTCCCTCCCTCTCCCGGGCCCTGCCTCCTAACAGCCCACCCGGCTGGAATTGACCCAGTGATGAGGTCAGCACCCCGAGATCCACAGTCACCTCCCCAGGCCTCACCACTGATCACCGCTGCTTTGGGGTTCAAGCCCTCAATCCATGAGTCCCTGGGTGACATTTTATATGTAAACCACAATACACCGCAAAGGCTCCCGCTGAAAATCCCATTCACCATGCCACTTTGGGAATTGAGTTTCTAACACAGGAAATGGGGCAGGGAACCTCCAAAGCACAGAACCTGTGTTTCCCCCGTGGTGACTGTGAACGAGATGGGATGTCATTCACACCCCTGCACCCCAGGCCACACACCAGCTGGCCCTTGGGCCTTGAGCCTTTTACCAGATGTTCCTCTTTCCCCATGCTGGGGCTCCCTGGTCTTTTCCAGGGGGGGAGAATGCAGGGCCCAATCTCAGCGATGTGGGTGACCCCTCAGCCACTGCTGTCCCCCAGGTGCAGGGGTCTGCAGGGCCTTGGGGGATTCTGAGTACGTGGGCTTCCATGGCAGTAGCCACCCTGTCCAGGACGCCTGCCCTCACGTCCTGGTGAAGGTGTGTCACCCCAACACGGAGCTGCCTGTCTTCAAGATAAGCGCCAGGAGCGAGCAGCAGCACCAGGGCAGAACCGGAGCCTTCAAGCTCCGCCAGGTCTACATCAACGTCACCGATGTCCAGGTCCCTCTACAAGAAGGCCAGCAAGTGCTGGTGAGCTGGGCATGGTGACAGGCCCTGGAGGGAGAAGGGAGTTTGGGGAGAGGCCTCTGGGCTTCCTCCTACTCACAGTCGCCACCCTCCTCTTCAGATCAATGGCACACCTGTCACCCTTCCCGCCACCTCCCGGATCACAGGGCTCAGCATCGCTTCCCGCGGCATCTACACCATTGGTCTCCCTGCAGACTGGAGTGCAAGTCAAGTTTGCGGGCCCGCATTTCTTAGAGCTCAAAGTCCCTGCGGCTTACGGCTTACGATGGGAAGGTGCAACTCGGTGCGGGGGGCAGCCTGGGGTGGGGGCAGCATCCCAATCTCCCCGCTCCAGAGAGGTCAGGTCGCCTTCCTGGGGGAGAGGGGAGGTCCTAACAAACAGTGCCCTTGGGAGCTGGGGTGGGGGCACATACCTGTGATTCCAGCACTCCAGGAGGCTGAGGCAGGAGGATCGTAGTTTGAAGTCCAGGCTGAGCAAATTAACAATTTAGCGAAACCCTGCCTCAAAAGAAAAAAGAAAAAGGGGTGGGGATATAACTCAGTAAGAAGGTCCTGGGTTCAAGCCCCAGTACTGCTTTAAAACAAAAAAGCTCTCAGGCCTCCCAGAGCTGAGAGCCCCCTGCCCACCCAGGTCTGCGGCGTGTGTGGGAACTTCCACGGCGAGTTGGAAGATGAGCTGGTGATGCCCCGAGACGAACCGGCCCAGAGCGAGCACGAGTTCATAGACAGCTGGAGAGACAAGGACATTCACTCAGAGTAACAGTGCCCCACCTCCTCCTGGGGGTGACACCGGGAGCGGGGAAGCCAGACAGCAGGGCACATCTGGGGCAGGGAGAGCAGGGGTCCCTTCAGGGCCGTGGTTTGAGGAAGGAGGCTTCTGGGCCTCAGGCTGGTGGAACCGACTTGGGGAAGTAGGAAATTCCCTTTCTGTGCTTAGAAACACAGGAGGGAGAAACAAAAGAAAAGCAAAAGAAAGCCTGGC